GTGTGTGTGTGTATATATATATATATATATATATATATATATAAAGAAACATTTTATACTTTTATACCTAAATTATTTTATATTGTATGTAGGGCTGAAGCTATCGAATATTTTAGTAATCGAGTATTCTACCGAAAATTCCATCGATTAATCGAGTAATCTGATAAGAAGAACTTTTTCTTTATTAAAGAGCAATACTAAATATACAAGAGAAAATAAGACAGGTCTCTTAAAATGAACAAGTAATTGCATATATTAATAACTGTGAAAACTAAACCCATTTAGTGCATTTAATTGCCATATTACATTCAAAATGCAAATACAAATATTTAAAAATATAAAAATCAATTTCAAATTACTTTAAAAAAGGTAAAAATAGTACAACCAAAAACTAAGACATAAATCAGAATAATAGTAATAAAAATAATAATAATAAAACCTAAACATTGTGCAACTTAACTTTCAAGTTTCAGCCTAACTACAGCTCAGGCTTTGTGGCTTTTGTAAGAGGCAAAAATTAGTGGGCAGGAAACGGACTTAACTGACTTAAATGTTTGTTAACTACAGCTCAGGCATGACATAAGCCTTTACTGTCTTCTTAGAAAGCTTTGTGGCTTAAGTAAGACGCAAAAATTTGTTGGCAGGAAGCTAATGTGGAACAAAAACAAGAGTCCATACACATTTTTCAGCAACATGAATTTAAATAATAAATATTTTATTAAATAGTATAAAGTAATTTTGTAAGACTTTTTAATTTAACTAAATTTTAATGACACGGAATTTAATAAACACAAGCCAATAGAATAACCACACTTTTATTGAAAGAAAATTGGACAGAAAATATATTAATATTAAATATCAATGTATTATTTTTATTCAGTTCTATGCAACAGAATCAGACATAACTTGTTGTTGTTATTGTTTTTGACTAATTATCCAAATAACGTATAGTCCTGCAAACAGGGTTTTTCCTTTCTCAGAATGCAGCGGAGGTGGTACCATCCTGATCATGTGCACACCCTTCAAGTGGCTGAAACAAACACTTTTTACACGCAACATATTTTAGGTGTTATAATAATTATAGCTATGATTAAAGAAAGTGACAGTTATAAAGTTATGTTTTATTTTCTCTCACCTAATGTTTTATTGTTATTTATTCTTAAAATAGCCTAAATGCTTTCTTTTTCCTCAGAAATTCTGTGTTGTGTATCTTGTTATCAAATGAAGGCATAAAATATAATTTATCTTTAAATTATTGAAAATTAAACTTTTTTTGGCAAACAAAGGGGGTTTACTATTAAAATTAAAACATGGAAGAAATGTTGTGTGATCATTCCTTAAAAAATAAAGTTTTCATAATTTTAGTAGTAGTAGTAGTGTGTACTTTCTGCTGAACAATAGTAATATATTTCTGCTGCAGTCTTCAAATTAAACTGGACTTTTATTTTGACGGTTTGCCGTGAATACCTTTAAATTTCTGTGTGTATATGACGCTAGCTTTACTCATTGTATGTTAATATAATGTATATTATATAAAATTGTATATTTCAAGTGTCTATCGTTTAGTTTCTCAGAAAAAAAAAATCATTTAGTAATGCAGAAATGATTCACTTCATCTTAAACATCTACCACTTTGATTAAAAATGAGTCAAAAGTTTTTAAAACTAGTTTCAGTGACATTACTGCCCTGTAGTTGGTCATAAACTGCAGGAATATTGCTCATGTTATTCTGAACACTGTAGTCTCGCTCTTTCTCCTCAGCTCTCGCTCCTCTCTTCTCTAATTTCCCTCGATTGACAGAAAAGAACCGCAGATAGAAGCTGCTCGGGCCGGTCAATAGCTATTCGAGCTGACGGAAACTTGATCTGATGGCACAATCTCTCTCTCTCTCTCGATCTTGTTATAGCTCTCTCTCTCGCTCTGGTTTTCTTTGTGTGTTTGGTCAGAGAGGCAGATTAACAGACATTTTATGCCGAGCTGAAGCAGAGCCGGGCAGTTATCAGTGCCAGCTGCGCGGCTCCAGCCTGCTGTCCCCAAAATAAATAAAGAAAGAGTTGGCTTACTGCGAGATCATTAGCTCACTGCAAATGGATTTCTCTGGAAGCCAATGGAGTCGCTTTGAGGAGAAACACCTACTCAAATGTTCTCCTATTGATCCAGCCTCTTAAGCACTCATCCGCGCCTCACAACTCGCATTACTGATGGGCTGTTCGGGATCGCGGCTATTTGTAGCGACGTCTGAATGATTTGGATGCGTGTCGTCCGGTTTTCATCCGGCCCGTTCAGATGCCCTGAGCTACAGCACTTAGGAGTGACACCAGATGGATGGCAGTCGATTTGTTTCTTCCGAGCTGCGTGTTTTTCACCCGCCGTGTTTAATTATGTCGCTTGCCACACGAAACGGCCTCCGGGAGTAAATAGGAACGCTTCGATTTCATGCTTTTGCCAATAGCATCAGTCTCATCGTGAACTGCCTCATCATGTTAATGTCTAATCCAACAAGTGCTGTCCAGTTTTACTGTGTGTGTGTGTGTGTGTATATATATATATATATACACTGCTGTTCAAAAGTTTGGGATCAGAATGATTTTTAAAGTTTTTTACAGGAGTCTCTTCTGCTCATCAAGGCTGCATTTATTTGATAAAAAATACAGGAAAAAAATGTAATATTGTGAAATATTATTGTGATGTAAAATAAAGTTTTTCTGTTTTAATATACATTAAAATCTAATTTATTTCTGTGATGCAGCGCTGTATTTTCAGCATCATTGCTCCAGTCTTCAGTGTCACATGATCTTCAGAAATCATTCTAATATGCTGATTTATTATCAGTGTTGAAACTGTTGCTGCTTCATATTTTTTTGTAACCTGTGATATTTTTTTCAGAATGCTTTGGCAGCACAACTGTTGATAATTCTAATAATGAATCAGCATATTAGAATGATTTCTGAACATCATGTGACACTTTATACTGGAGTAATGATGATGGAAATTCAGCTTTGCATTACAGAAATAAATTATATTTTATAGGATATTAAAATAGAAACCATTATTTTATATTGTAAATAACATTTTGCAAGATTACTGTTTTTTTTCTGTATTTTTGATCAAATAAATGCAGCCTTGATGAGCAGAAGAGACTTCTTTAAAAACATTACAAGTCTTACTGATCTCAAACTTTTGACCGGTAGTGTATATATAATAATAAAAAATATATATATATAATAAAGAAAATTTTAATCTTATTTAATTTAAATTTTAATAAATAAAATAATCATGAATATATTATAGTTAATTATTATATTTTTAATATTAATATTTTTATGTATTTTGTAATAAATGAAATGATTATCTAATCATACATTATTATAATATGACATTAAATCACCCTCTTTTGGGCGATTTCACTCTGGCTTAGAGTCGCCCCGACTGTTCCCATAGACTTCCATACAAAGGCAAAAAATTTTTCTGCAATACAGTCTCTATGAGTTCCGGGAGAGCTACACTAACGTGCTTTCATCATCATACGTAACCTTATCTCGTGCAG